AGTGGGAGAACTTGCACAATTGGTGGCTGACTAAATACTTTTTTGCCCCACTGTACATGAATGTTTGCCTTGATAGGACTTAAACAGGACTTAAATTTTAAATTCCTAAATTTAAATAGGACTTAAGTTTTAAACAGATTTAAAAGGTGATTAATTATATTGATTATAAGCAAAGTGGGTTACAACCTGCTAGAACCTAATGCAATGAACTCTTAGAAGCTCACAGGGCTGTTCTCAAGACAGCCTTCTTTGACAGTCCTCTAGATTCATCCTGTCTGCAGAGCCCAGAAATTCCAGCTAAGGTGGTCAAAGGCTGAAGTCGCTGGATATTCTGGGAGCTGCAGTCCTTCTCAACACTCTGAAAGACCCAAATTTGGAGAAGGCAGGCTTAAGCCATAATGTTAAAGGTTGAAGATCTAAAGGAATTGCAGTTTCATTCAATGCCTTATCTAGTGTCCTGCCTTTCAAAGTTCTCTGTTTCCTTCCTTTTTCTCTGATAGTCTTGAAAGGTGATGGAGATTTCATCATCTCTTTGCACTTATGAGCCCATTTGGCCCCTAAGGAGAGGAAAGGTCTTCACAGACTGCTCCTGTGGTGTTTCTCATCTGGCTCTTTGTGTTTAGGAGGTAAAAGGGAACTTCCTTTCTTTCTCCCCTCTCTTCAAGCTGTAGTTTAAATAGAAGCGAGACTTTTCTGGGTTTTTTTGTATTTCTCAATAAACCTTGCTTTTATTTCAGATACAATGTATGTCTGCTAGCAATGTAGGTTCATTGACAGCTGGACTAAACCCATGCTCTGCATCCGACAGCTCTATTATGGGGTTTTGGGTTTTTTTAATGGGGTATTCTACTACTTAATTATTTAGTATTCTGTTAAGCACTTTGCTTACGTTCAGGAGCATATCTTCATTTCAGTTCCTGTTGAATTCAAATCTACAACACCTGGTATTCAACTGGATATCTTTGTCATCTACGCTAACATTTTAAAGTTGGCCTTTTAATATGGCTTAGATTGGTTCAATGCTGCAAATAATTTTCACAGCGTTGTTATTTTGGTCTGGTTTTGTAGGGTTACCATACTTCTGAATTACACAGACTCTTTTAACCAGACTCATGCTCCACCTGATAGGAAGAACGAGTATCTCAAAAGCTCCAGGTTAGAATGGTGACGTAAGCAGCTTGTGGTGGCATTGTGCAGTGAGCACAGCCCTCAGGGAGAACAAGGATGATGCTTCCCAGATGCAGTCTTTGCTAAAGCTGCCTTACCCCTTCTGACTGGTGGATGGAATCAGAAAGGCGTGGCCAATAAGCCTAAAAGTAGAGGTGCTGCTGATCAGAAGGTACAGGAGTAGCCTGGGTGGTCTTTAGGCTCTTTGGTTCAGAGACACAGATTTGTTAAGTCATTTAACATATACTATTCATAACAGTGGCAGAGGTTTTAGATTTCACATGGAAGCGTTTGATAGGTGGCAAGGACTTTTGATTTCATAAAAATGCTGCTTTATAATAGTGGCAGAGACATTTGCTCTCACTGAAATACAGTACATTAAAGAATGTAACATTGGTACCAGTTA